TATTGTGCAGTCGACGCAGGCGAAAATACGTTACACATAGTATATAACTGTATAGTTTATGACTTTTTTGTAGTGCATGTTGTATCTATACAGTAGAACGAAAGATAATTTTATCCTTCTTTATTCGGTGAATAATAAAGAGGAATCATACATGTGTAACTCAAAACGCATCTGAAGCGATATTTGCCATAGCTGACGAGAAAACGTTTTCTCTTCTAATTTTTCAATGTAATTTATATTAAGATATAAATTAGGAATCTTTGTTCAATGTAAGTCTAAGTTCCTAATAAAAATATATTTAGAAAAAAATCTTTATTATCTGCAACTTTTAAGCCAAGAAGAAGGCTTTGCTATATTCACGTTTTTTATCTTATATTCACAGATCCATACATTCTTTCCGTTGACTATCTTTTTTTTAATCTATTTTGTAATATATTAATCTCAACATGTATATAATAATTTCTTCGACGCTCTCGCAATGTTCTTATCTTATCCATCTACAATATATCTAAAAATATTTTAAGATCAATACTTCCCAATATACAATCAGTTATTTCAGATGTTTTAAAACTAATTCATGATTATTCTTTAACCGAATCGTATCCAAACTTAGAGATAGCAAGAATATTTTTAACTATTGCGATAACAATAGCTTTATGTAAAAGAAGTTTTAGTAAATTGAAATTAATGAAAAATTATTTAAGGTCATCATTAAATCAAAAAAAATTATTAAGTACAGGAATTCTTTCAATTGAGAATGAAATATGGACATGAAATGAGGATATAGATTTTGATATAATAGATTTAATAATTGATAATTTTGCATCTATCAAAACACAAAAAATATTATTGTATTGTAATTTTAGTAACTATATTTCATTTGTATATACAATGTACGATTGTAACAATTCTTATCCTGCATGTACACGTAATTATATTGTATTAAATTAATACTAATATATACAAGTACTATTAATTACTATTAATTAATATTATTTTTTATTATATTTCACATGTCATAAAGAAATATTTTTTTACTTTAAGGGGCGCATTTTTATTTTGCTTCGGGAATCCAAATTCCCAGTCTTGGCTCTGTATCCACAATAAATAAAAAAAATATCTTAATTTCTTTGTTTGCTAGTACACAACTGTAATTCTTTCTCAACAGAAAGTATTGCGAACCGTTTATTTAAATATTCATTCGTTATATTAGGCAAGGATGTCGGCTTCCATGATGGTTTCCGATCTTTGTCGATTAGGAGAGCTCTAACACCTACAATTAAATTGAAATATTGATCCAAGAATAGAGGATTTGTAGACGTAATGTTAAATTCTATCTTATTACCTTCATAGAAATCATCGTCTCTGGTCAGAGCGGTACAAGCCAATCTAAACTCAATTTTTAAATAATCCGCTAAAGATTTTTCTTTTCCTTCATCGATCGCTCTTTTGGTGATTTCGAGAAAAGACGGGGACATTTTGAGTAGTACATCTATGTTTTTTTGTGCTCACTCTGAATTATCTTTTTTCAAAAAAATTATATACTGCTGTAAGTAAAAATATATTGATTCAATTTTTTAATATCTCTATTTCACCTGTCAATTATCTCTTCAACAGTTGGAGCAGAGAAATAATTTTCTATCTGTGACATATAAGGTGCCAAGCTGAATTTATGATTTAATTTCGGTTGATATTTATTTTAAAAAAACGGTTAAAACGGACTTAGTATCAACTTCACGCAACGTTAACAAATCGCGTTTCAAATCCGTGAGTTTCTCCGATGGTACAAAATGCGTCGCGAGTCCAGCAAAGAGAACGTCGACACCTTAATAAAATATATATTTATAAATATACATATACTCGTATTTATTGAATTTTCAATATAATTGAAATCTATAATTGAATCAAATAATTGCAATTCAACTGAATATACCTTTTAATTTGTGTCCTGTCAGGCCTAAGTAAATACCCAATTTGCCTTTCTGGACAAGAAATAAGTCGCACCAGCATCGGGAAATAATTCGATTGCCATCTCTCTAGCACAGAGAGTTTTTTCCGTGGCAATTTTGTATTTGCCAAATATAGCTAATCCAACACCGCCTCCCATTGTTAACCCATTGATGATAGCAATATAAGGTTTCTCATATGTTCCGATCAAATGAATTAAGCTAAAAGCAAAGAAAAAAAAATTATTTTGCACAATTGATGCATTTGTTCTTGAATAGACATTTGTTCTTTTACGACTTACATATAGTTTTGTCTAAATGATTCTTCATCGAATAAAAGTCTTCTTTTGATTTATTCAATGCCAAGGCAAACGATTTAACGTCACCACCCGCGCAAAATGTTTTTTCAGCCATACCTTCTATTATTACTAGTTTCTTTGAAGATTCCCATTGTTTAAGAAATGGAATATATTTTTTGGGCCATGGATAAATTTATAGTATTTAACACCTTAAACCTTACTATAAAATTCGATTTAAAATTATTACGCCCTTATCTCCAACCTTTTTATGTATAATTTTTATACATAATTAATATCTTAATTATCTTAATTAGAGAGCAAAGCGTATCTCAATAAAATTGCACAAACCGATAAAAAATTGTTCATGCATGAATATGTATAAATATACATAAACACGCTTAAATATTCATAAACATATATAATTATATATGAAATATGTCCATACATGTTTATACATCTTTTTTTCTTTTGTAAAATTATTTTTTAGTATAATAGAAATAATAAGAATAATATGAAAACATTAAAAATAATTAAAAAGGTAATTTTCGCACTATTTGTTTTTAAAAAATTAAGTTTGAAGAAATGTAAAAAAATTATTTATGTACAATTATATATAAAATTATGCATAATTATGTATGGACAATTTTTTTTATTTTTCCAAACTTGTTTTTTTCTGAAACAAACAATGCGAACATCATCCTTTTAATTTAATTTTTGTTTTCACATTACTATTATTATTTCCATTACACTAAAAAGTAATTTTACAAAAGAAAGTAGGATATATGAACATATTTTGTATATAATTATACATGTTTATGAATACGTAAGCATGTTTATATATGTTATATTTATTATGTTTATACATACTTCTACATATTTATGCATGATAAAATTTTTTACCAGAAATCTATGATTGCTTATGATGTTGGCAATTTGCTATAGATTTGTCTTCAACGATTTCGAATGTACCGACATTATAAGAACAAGCAGGTAACAATGTGTATATATATTACCAACAGTTATCAGCAAAATGGCTGCATCAGTGTTATCTGCATATGATATTGCATATTATTAAGGCAACATGGTGATAGTAGTATGAATTTTGATGATGACGATTTTAAAGTTGTCGCTAAACTGCTGACTTTGAGTAGTAACTTTGAGTTATCAAGTTGCCATCAAATGAAGACTTAATTGCTGCTATTCTAATAGCAATACATCTCTGGCAGAAAAATTTCGTTGAAATTATTTCACGGAATACTTTTTTATTTTGGAATACTTTTCAGTAAAATTTCAGCGAATCATTTTAGAAAAATTTCAGTTTAATTTTAGTGATTTTTAGCTGAAAAATTCATTTTCAGCAAAATTTCAAAAAAATTTCAACAAAATTTCAGAGAAATTTCAATATGTTAGATTGATTTTTCAATATGTTAAATGAAAAATACACTTTCAATGAAATTTCAGTAAATTTTTAGCAATTTCGCTGAAAATTCTAAAATGTAGAATAATTTCAGCAAAATTTTTTTACCAAGGTTGCTTAGCAAAGCATACTTAGCAAGCAATTTAACATGCTAGCAACAAGACAGACACGCTATCTGAGTAATTCCTTAATAAATTCTAATAAATTAATAGCATTTGGCAAAGATAAAAATTTTTAAACAATAATATACAAATATACATCTTTTATAAGGACCTCATCCGTGTTTGAGTACTAGCTACTTCTTTAGCTTTAGATTCTGAAATTGCAAGATTAATTTAAAGCGGCGGTTTGATTTACGCTCACAGTACTTACTACGTATGTTAGAAATCTTTGTATGATAAATTATAAAATTAATATATTATTGTTTCCTTCAAATTTTAATAATTACATAAACTTCTATGAGACTAGTCATTTTTAATAATATCTTATAAGCAATTTATATTAACGTATAGCCATCTTTAATAGTATCTTATAAGCAATTTATATTAGCGAACGTTTTCTAAGAATTAAGTTTATATTGGTCTTCTTTTTCCCGCGCAAATGATATAAATGAATCGAGTATCTATTTCTGCGATGCTTGATTCCAATTATCTGAAGACAAGTTCTGAATAATCTATCATGCTTATTTTTCGCGCACGCTGGCTGTGTTTATTTGTATTTTAAAAACATTGAATAAAGTTTTTTAATTGCAATACTGATATACTTTGCGTTTTACTATCGATTTCTCGGAGCATCTCATATTAGAAGCACAATTTTTTGACTTTGCGATTTGCTCACTTTTTATATTTCTTTAATTTAAAAAAAATGGAATTTGAATTAAATTTTATATAACGTTATCTTAAAGCTTATTAAATTCCCTTCAAAATGACCTATTATTTTTTTTAAATTCTGCCTATGGACTTCTAGTATTTATTCAAAATGAACTCGGTATCTCATAATAGGAGCCTTTCCACTATATTTTTATGCACTTGGCGCATCGCGTCGCAACAGTCTATTATCTATTTATCATTTCTATTTTTATATAAACTGTACATACAAGAACTGTACATACAATAAATATTGCATTAATAAAGCGCCTTGCACATAAAATTAGTACGTTGTTATAAATTCTATATGTATAATATCTATGTCTGGGTTATCAAAAAGTTTTGAAGACGTCTTTTAGATAAATCTTAAATCTTAAAGACATCTTAAAAATAATTACTTTAATTATCTCATAAAGAACTTGCGTTATTTGAACATTATGAGCACTAAAAAAGAGTCAACTGCTGCTACAACTTGGTTTCAGTCTTTACTTTGGCGAATGCTATAAAAATTACAAATAATTTTTATAATGTATTTTTATAATATATAACATTGTAGAAAATTTGTTTGTTAAAAATACGGGAAATACAAATTTAATTCGATTAAAATTTTACGTGTGCCAAGAAAATATCACGGATAGAAATACAATTTTCTAAACAGGTATATGTTGCGATTTTTTTTTTAGCCACGATAAACGCGTAACATTTGTTCTATCATACAAATTCTAATCGGTCACTTTCCTCATTGAAGTTCTTGTCATCAATGATATCTTCAAGATAACAATAGTTTTATTGAACAAAAAATTTCAATTGTAATCATATCAAAAATTCATTCATTCACTCATCTTTCGTACGATTCAGTATTTTTCAATGTGAACCCCATTTGCATCTTCTACAAGACTAATTTAATTAATTATAAATCATCTCGATTGTGGGTACGTTTGAGACGCGGAGGCGAGGGTGGAAGTAGTAAAAACAGCAGCTTCGTTTTTTTTTGTAGATACGGACGGTACGTGCCGTTCTCTTGACATTTCCACGTTTTGCTCTTGAGCCGCATTTATAGATGCGATTACGATGGAATACGGTGGAGGATTCTCGAATTTGTCCTCGCTGGATGGGTTGATACTCGTTAACATCTGAGTAGACCTCGATGTTCCTTGAACAGTCGTCACAGACGCGTAAGACGGTGGTAAATCTGGAGAAGAATGCACTGCATATGCTGACGATCCTGCCTGCAAAATACGAACACGCGGAGACATGAATTCAGTTCCTTTCCTTTGGGACGTTAAGTACCGCATCTTGTATAAAATGATACTCTCTTTGTGTACAATTTATAACAGATCTGGAAATTTGTTTTTGAATTTATATCACAAAAATATACTTTTTAAATTTTTTGGAGTGGACTTTTACTCTAAAGAAGGAGTAGCTTAATTTTCAATCTTTAAGAATGAGATTCACTCTAAAAAAAATTTTAGAGAGTACGTAACATACTATAATATTTTTATGTGATATTTTTCAAGAATAAGAATAAAATTACACGCTGCGGAGAAATAGAGAATATTTTATTTCGCACTTTTCCATCATGAAAGTTTTGTGTGCTATGTTCACATGGTGCGTCTATGATGAATATAATTTAAACTACACTTAAAAATGTTTTTAAATTTCATTAACTTTTAAGTTACACAATTTGAACTTAATTTCATGACATTATATTAAATTTAATGTATTTATAATTAAAAAGTATATTTATATACATGTATCTAAAATTTAATGTACACGTTCATTATATTTAAGTAACTACTATAATTTAATTTTCGGTTAAATCATTCATTACCTTTAATTTCATTCATAACCATGAGCTTCATTTACATGTAAAAGAAGCTCGTGGTTACATTTCTAACAGTGTACTAACTTTATGTTAATAAATTGCTTATTAAAATGAAATATAATTTATGAAATTGTAAAAACAATTTTCACTGTTATAGTATTTAATATTTACAATTAACATTGCATTTACAATCTTATAACAATTTTTTGAACTGCTTTAACACATTTACTATCATTTTTCCGCATCGTGTGAACAGGGCACGCTGAAATCGCACTAATGCGTCATTATTTTTTTTATCTCGATATCTCTGTTTACGCACTTAGATTTTCTTTCGTCTTACACGATTTCATCATATCACTTAGCATCAAATTATTTTATCTTTTCAAAATACGACAGTTTATTACAAGAACACAGGTTTAGGTGACTTTACAGATTTAAGATACAATGACGCACTCTTTATTCCGCACTCTGTGATTTCACCTTAAGACACCTGAAGAATATATAAAAATTCAAAATCGATTGTTCGAAAATAATAAATTAGTACCTGTCTGCGATTGGCAGTAATATCCGAGATAGTCCGAATCGCCGCTCTTTGTTGCTCGATCAGAATTCTCGCGTGAGTTCTTTTCACGGTGTAAACGGTATATCCGCAAACCAGGAAGAAAAGTAGCGTCAATATTACCAAAACAACCCACATGTGCTCCCATTGCAGTAATATCGAGGCTATCATCGCTGTTGTCACCCATGCGACCAGGATGGTAGCCAGCATGCGGCCGGAGCAATCCGCATCCTGAATAAGTCGCATTATAGATATATATAGCTATGTACAGCTTTCGAGTCACGTGGATTTACCCCGTCTAATTGTAAGACGAAACGCGTGCTTGAGGTGTCTAGTTTTATTCCCTCGATAGTAGCGGTTCTGTGCTATCGTAGCAACGATTAACAATAATCAGCTTAAACAAAGAGTCCAAGATCTCGACAGCGATCGGCGAACGAACGCTGATAATCACCGCCGATTAGAAGCGTAAAATTATCGTATCAAATTGCAATGGATAATCGCCGAGCGAATATTAAATTTATCAGTAAGGCGGTATACATACCAACAGGATCAGAAAAAACATCTTGGATACGAGAGACAGTCGGAGAGGGAAATTTCCTCCTAGTAGTAGCAGTTATTAATCTACACACGGCTTATCGCAAGTGTATATTACTTATTTACGATGATAAATGATCCCGGAGTCGATACACAAAGTGTCGCTTTTCACATCTCATTCGTATCTTCTCGACGTGGATGTATTTTTAGAAAACTTCATTACCAAGGCAATATATTAATAGTCGGTAATACGGATTTTTGCGTACTGAACCTGTACAGATTTGTAAAGCATCGTATACTGTTCGAAGCAAGGTGTTCATATTGTTTTACAGCGCACTAACGTTGCGTAACGGATCAGCGATATCTGAACGCAAACGAAAGTATTTAGACTCGTATCAACCCATCGTTTATCCAAACGCTTCTGTTTCCGAACGCTTGAATTTGTTCCGTTGGAACTAAACGCTGGTACATGTACGAGTCTCAGTGAGAAATCCAACTCAGTCCTTGATGCAATTTCCTGCAAGTTGCATAACACATGCAAATTGCCGTTTGCGATAAGAAGTAAGCTGGAAAATTATTTTAACGGTTAGGATACAGAGTAAGTTCTAATTGGAATATATAATAGAGATTGGCCACAAGTGATTTTATCACTTCGAGAAAAAAACGGTATGTACTTCTTTCCTGTCTTCAACTTATACTATCTCATTTTATAACTTAATCCTTAGAACACAGGATTGGGTCATTCCTGCACATTTTTTTTCTTCGAAAAACTAAAAGCATCAAGTAATTGGACAGAGTTACAACATTTTTTTTCAAATACACAATCTTACAAATATTTTCTGAAGATGTTAAAGTATATGTAAAAGTCGCTCAGTAATTTTTATGTATATTTGATAAAAATTAACCTGGGAAAATCATTATGGGTACTAAAGGTTAATTAAGATTATAAAATGAAATATAATATAAGAGTGAGATAGTATATATGCAGGGAAAAAGTAGAATATACTTTTCTCTATTAGATTCTGTTTCTCTCGTCAATTGTGGCGAATGTTTATTAGGATCAGACAGTGAGATCGCGAACGATATATATATTTGTCACTCGATCGCGTACCTTGTATGTCGATCAATACATTAAAAACTCGCGATCACTCTCGATGCGATACGACGATCACCCGGTGCATTGTAACGAAGAATGCTTGTGTTCGTTGCAATGAAATTGCAGTTCCAAGTGGAATTATTGAGGCAGTTTTAGTCAGTTTCAGCCAGTGTTTCATCAGCGTTAAAAACTGAAAAAACAATAAGTTTCTACCTTTACGACGACTTAACGATAACTACGCGATAAGCGAATGCAGACCCCCTTAGCGCCGTTCTGCGCGGTTATCATCTAACAATGACGTGTACCATTTTAACACAGATAACGAGATGATATGCATAAACGGTTAAAATTTTTTTAAGTACGAAAAAGCTACCCTCTGCAATAGAACACGATTAGATAAGTCATACATGGAATACATGGAGTGTGTATATAAATATATACGTATATATAAAATGACATAATCATGATTACGTTTGTGATATATCAAAGATCGTGTCGATGTAAATTTATAGCAGCAGGTACAATGTAATTTTCGCCATTTGCTATATATTCTACATTGCGATATATTTTACAATCCGAATATCAGTCGCTGTTTCAGAGTTGTCCGTATTGAGAAAGACAGTTCGTATATTATTTATGATAGGTTGCGCGATATCAACGCAGTTTTCTTATCTTGTTCTCACAAGTACGGTAATGCCCAAAAAGCCAGCTTGGAATTTACCTTTAAGAATGACAGAACGAACGAGAGATGTTGCTTTTATTCAACGCATCATCCGTTCGACACATCGAGTCTCTTTGTTAAGAAAAAGAATACATCGAAACATTTTTCACATACAACGTGCGTGTCCTAACAGATTAATCTACGAAATGTACAAAAAAAAATTCAACGCTCAGTTACATATCACAATTGTTAATCAAATTATTAAAAAAAAAAAGAAAAGGATGCGTATAATGTCAATCAGGGTCCAAATAAATTATTGATTCTCGATAAAAGTTTAACATTCGCCGGCGATCGCGTTAAAAATAATTATATTTTTATACTTGTATATAAAAAAAAGAAGTATAGTAATAATGAAGATGATGATGATGATGATGATGATGATGATGATGATGATGATGATCATTTGGACCACGATTAAGATCTTCTCTTTTTGTACCTCCGTTTTCTCTTTTCCGTTCTTCAGTCTGTTATTTTTATGCGTTTAACCACTCCCTAAATATAAAGTGATAAGATCTATGTCAATGCCGGGTCCGTTCGACATATATTAATGTGCCGCGAATACGATATCGCGCTAATTTCTTATTTCTAAGTGAAGACGATGAAGATAACTAATAGATAATAACTCTAAGCAAAATTGTTTACAAATTTTCTAGAATATGCCAAATACACACGTCCTACCTTCATTGTTCAGAAAAAAATGGGCCACGACATTATGTCGCGTTAAGTCGCTCGACTAATAGAGAACGAATCGTTTGAGCAATTATAACGAGAGTCGTTTTCCTCGATTGTACAAAAATTCGTGGATGTAGATGTCGAATAGAAGGAACAGGATCGAATTAATGGCATTCGATAGAAGATGATAGGCCCTCGTTTAGGGCAGTAATCGCGGATTGAAACGTCCCATGTGAAGTATTATACCGGAAGGATTGTGCCGAACGAAATATAAGAAGGGCCTGTCGAGCTTCAACCTCGGTCTCTCCAACGAGAGCTGCTTTTCCTCTCTGTAGAATCCGTACAGAATCGTGCGCGATTGGTCTGCGTAAGAATCTATATTGTCCTCTTGCGGCAACGTGCCGTATCTCATTGTATTCTCCTCAGCAGTATTTCCGAAATTATCGTCCTCCGTTCGTCGTTCAACGTTTCTTCTTAATGGACTCGCGGGATACGTTTCCACGTGATGTCGACCGTTAAGAATATTCTCATCGCCACAGGTGCTGAATAAATTCATCTGCGAAGAAAATTCATGATTATAAGCAGCGTTATCGTATATATTGGGATTATCGAACAGACAAATGTATGACAAATGTACCTGTAACACATCGGCTAAGTGAAGACGGTGACCTATACCGTTGATACCCTTAAAATCGGCGTTACCCGAGAAGAGCTCATCGAGGCCCATCCTCTTCAAGGCGGCAGTCGCGTTGACGACGGATCTATGACTGAATTTAGGCACCTGTAGCTCGAGACCGTGTCTCGGTATGAGAGCTTTGAGGAGCTTGTTCCAGGCTCCGTCGCGGAACGCGCTTCTGACGAGACGCTGCTCGAGACGATCCAAAGTATCGCCGGGCGCGGTGTGACCCTGTTGACCCGGCAACACGAAGATCGTCGAAACCAATTTGTCGCTGCCTCCAAGACCGATCGCCGTGGCATCGATGCTAGGTTCATAGCCGGCTAAAACGCCCGATCGCCAAGTCGTAGCTGGGACCGGTACGAGCTTCCTTTGTCTCACAGCCGGCGAAACGGCAAAGTACAACTCGCCGTCCCTACCAACGGAACTTGTCAGACTGCTATTACAATCGGTCTGAAATACATTGGCGGAGAGCGCCGCCAAAGGTGATCTGAGCGGCACCGTGTTCGTCTTAACGAAGTCCTTGATTCTGCCGCCGGTCTGCTTCCTAACCAGCAGATTCGTTCTTCTGCGCACGAGATCGCTAATAGTGGCGAAGTTCACTTCGGTCACAAGGCCCTCGTAGAATTGCTGGGCCTGCTCTTTGTAGAAGGGCATGAGTTTCCTGACCTTCATCTTGTCAGCGAACAGCTCGCGGACGAAGGCGGCGTTCGCGATACCCTGGCCACGAGCTAAACCTACCGCGTCGGTTATGTTTTGGAAGACCAAGTGTGGATTGAACGTAGCGACGTCGTCCAGGCCGAGTACCTCGTTCATCTGATCGGATGTCGGACCGCGAGCACCCAAGAAGATCATCGCCAGTAAGCTGGTCATACCGAATGGCGAGAGTGCCAACGATCTCGCGGTGCTCAGACCCTTATTGGTGGCTACCCAGAAATTGAAGGCCAACTCGTTGCATAGCTTGGCAAAGTTTACAATATCGGCGCTGGTGTGTCTTATGGTAGCGTCTAAGCCGATTGCGCTCTGAGACGCGTCCAGCGGTAGGAAGGACTGTGTCGAAGATTGTGATTGCTCTTGCTGATGTGCCGGCGCTTCGACTCCTGGAGAACGAACGTGGGTGCTGTCGTTGGAATTCGAGCTGGAAGGCGGTAACGATGTCTGGGCGTGATTGACTGGTTTCCTCTGCAGCGGCTTCGGCAGTTTCGGCGGCTTTGGAAGCTTCGATATGGCCGGCGAAGCCTGTTGCGATATAAGCGTCCACTTGTCCTCCGCGTTTACATCAGCATCAGTCTTTGTGACGTCGGGCTTCTCCGATGGTTTGTAATCAGGCCTTGACGTTGGACGAACCGGAACACTCGACGGTGACGTCGACGCTTGCAAACGTATCACGTCCGGCTCCGGCGAACTCTCGGAATGTTTCAAAGAGGCAGTCTTGTTCTCCGTGTTATTCGAATACTCGTCGTTCTGTATTGATGCGTTGACCGTTGACGTGGTCTGCGTCACATTTTTGTCAATCTGACTTGACGTATTATTGATAGGGTTATCAGGCCGAGAAATATTCCCCTTATTTCCATTTGCATCGTTCGTTGAGTCTTGCGTTATTTTGATTGAACTATTGGTATGCTCTTTAATTGATAGAGGAACAGAAGAGGATTCATTGTTCTTATTATCTTCTTTATTCTGGATATTATCTTTGTTCTTGTAGCCAGCTGTAGTAGTAACGTGATTTGGATTCTGTGAAAGTGTAGAATCGGTAGAATTTCTATTTGACACGATAGCGTCAGATGTAATATTCAAAACGGAGATGTCCGTTGTAACGTCATTATATGCTTGTGAGCTCGACTCGGAGCTTGAATCGTTAATAGAGTGAATCACTATGGTCTCCTTCGTTATTGACGAAACATTTGCGAAGGAATCGTTCTTTTCGTTTAATAATTCTATTTTCGGACTGCTTTCCACGTGTCCTGAGTTTTTGGTATCATTCGCGACTTTTACGGATAACTGATTAGATAGTTCGGGGCTCAAGTCTGTCCTCACAATAAGTGCTTCAGTCGTTTTTATCTTCTCCTTTATTTCCGTTTTCTTCTGATTGTTATTTGTATTAAACGTCGTTTTGTTGACGCCTGGCGATCGAATACCAACATCTATCGTCGTCGTCGTCGTCGTCTGTTCAGGAATTACGTTAACGATTCCCACGGTTGTTGCGTTATATAAAGGTTGCTTAATAGCAACCTTTGATTCATCATTGACACTTGTGAATTTATTTGCTGGCGATGATAAAGATGCTTTCGTGGAATCATCTATTCTCTCGTTATTGCTTAACAATTTAATCGGTTCTAGAGTATCATTCGACTCTTTGGTCTGCGTTGAAGTACCGTAAATTAATGTATTGTTTCGAACTGGATCCGTTAATATCTCTTGCGTCGATTGCGTAACGTTTCTTTCCGTTTCATGTAATTTAGTGGCGTTTTCGATTTTTTCTTTCTCGATGGTCGATAAATTCGGTATATTTGTCGTTGGAAATCCGGCGATAAGGCCACTTGCAATATCGCCAGCTATTTCACCAACGAAATTCGATATGTTATCAGGCAAATCAATCGGCTTTATTGTGGGAGTGCTGGACGGTAGTGACACGATACTTATTACTTTGTCAATGGCAGACACTGGATCGCTTAAATTCAAATTCGCGAGAGTGTTGTCGAAATTTTCATTAGTTGTAGACTTATTTGAAGACAGATTTGTGTCGATCGACGCGGTTGTTGATTGCGTTTTGGTTGCATCAGACGCAACTGCTTTAGTATCAGTTAAATTCAAAAATGAAGTAGTCGAAGTCTTTTCTGACATAATTCTTTCGGTGATACTTCCAAGAGTCGCGGGACTTTCGGTCTGACTTGCCGGCAAAGAAGCGGATGTAGCATGTGTCTTCTCAAGCTGCACGAACGAAGATGCTGCTGTTGATCCCAAAACTTCTTCATGGATTTGAGTCGATTTAAGTCCAGCTGGTGTTGTAGGTAAATTATTGCTTGCTATTCTATTACTCGTCGTTCCGACTCTAATCGAAGCTGTCGATGTCGTCGCTTTAATCCTAGAGTTCTCGTAAATGCTGCTCGTGCTTGATTCTCTATCCACTATGTTGACAGGCTGATAAGTGATGGAATAGTCAAACTTGGTAGCGTCTCGCAACGGAATTTCGGTAGTAAAGGTTTCATAAGTTTGCGTATTAATGGGGATAGGTCTGACATTCTTTTCGTTTACCTCGGACACGTTACGCCTCTGCTCGTAATTAATATTCATGATCGGTATCTCCGGCATTTCGTTCGAGAGGGGCAGGACGGGTGGTTTCACTTCCGAAACTTGATTTATTACACTTGAGAAGGAATCGATTAACTGCGTGGGTAACGGTTCTATCGGTGCCGAGGATTGAATGTCGGTCGGCAGAGGATTAAAATAAGTCGATGTAACCGGGCTTGATGACTCTTTCGTAACCGTTGAGGAGCCTTCGTTGAGATAATGATGCAACGTCGAGACGGTCGGGTCCTTGATTCTCGTAACGGAAGCGAGCGTAGACGGTGAGTGCAGCGCGTTAGATGCCTCCTCGGGTTTCGGAGACGCGTGGGAAATCGGCACTAGGGTAGCGAGGGTATCGGTTTGTGGGATTATTATGTCATTGTATATCCCGTTCGTTTGAGATTCTTTCGTAACGCTAGATGCGAATGAAGAATCGTCAGATACCTTCGTATTGTTCTTGCTCAGTATAAGAATGTAACTGGTGTTCGAGGGAGAGATCTTGTCGGTCGTCAACTCGCTGGACC